TATTTATCTTCTCAAAGAACCAGCTCTTTGTTTCATTGATCCTTTCCACTGCCTTTTTTGTTTCAATAGCATTTATTTCTGCTCTGATTTTTATTATTTCTCTCCTTCTGCTGACTTTGGGCTTTGTTTGTTCTTTCTCTAATTCAGTTAGGTGTAGTTTAAGATTGCTGATTTGGGATTTTTCATGCTTGTTAAGATGTCCCTGAATTGCGATGAATTTTCCTCTTACTACAGCTTTTGCTGCATCCCATACGAGTTGGTATGGCATGTTATCATTTTCATTTGCCTCCAGGTATTTTTTGATTTCTTCCTTAATTTCTTCAATGATCCATTGCTTGTTCAATAGCATATTGTTTAGTCTCCACATCCTTGTGCCTTTCTCAGCTTTTTTCTTGTAATTAATTTCTAGCTTTATAGCATTATGATCAGAGAAGATGCTTGTTATTATTTCAATTTTTTAAATTTTTAGAGGCTTGCCTTGTTTCCCATCATATGGTCTATCCTTGAGAATGTTCCATGCACGCTTGAGAAGAATGTGTATTCTGCTGTTTTTGGATGAAGTGTTCTATATATGTCTATTAAGTCCAACTGTTTTAGTTTTTTTTTTTTTTGGCTCCACTGTTTCTTTGTTGATTTTCTGTCTGGATGATCTGTCCATTGATGTGAGTGGGGTGTTGAGGTCCCCTAGTATTATTGTGTTATTTTTGATATTTTCTTTTAGGTCTGTTAATAGTTGCTTTATGAGCTTTGGTGCTCCTGTGGTGGGTGCATAGATATTCGCAAGTGTTATTTCTTCTTGATGAAGTGTCCCTTTGATCATTATATATTGGCCCTCTGTGTCTCTCTTTACCTGCCTTATCTTGAAGTCTGTTTTGTCTGATATAATTATTGCGACACCTGCTTTCTTTTGTTTGCTATTAGCTTGGAGTATTGCCTTCCACCCCTTCACTCTGAGCCTGCGTTTGTCCTTGGAGGTGAGGTGTGTTTCCTGGAGGCAGCAAATTGTTGGATCTTGTTCTTTAATCCATTTTGCCACTCTGTGTCTTTTTATGGGAGAGTTCAGTCCGTTTACATTGAGGGTGAGTATTGATGCATGAGGGCTTAATGCTGTCATTCTGTTGCTTCTTTTCCGGTTTTCCTGTGTTTTCTTTGTTTCTCGTCCTGTGTGTTTTAGTCTACCCATTGACTTCTGCAATTTCTTATGCTGGGTTTCTTAGATCTTTCCTTATTTATGTTTTGTGTCTCTGTTCTGTCTTTTAGTTTAGTGGCTATCCTGAAGTTTGTATTCAGAATCTTGTGTATAACATAGTCCATTTTCTGGTGGTCTCTTACTTCCTTAGCCTAGACTGTTTCAGTCCTTTTCCTCCTCCCCTCCTAAATTATTTTCATCTCTTATTCCAACTTGTGTTGTGAGTTTGTGTGTAGAGTGATAAGATTGTGTTTGCTTTGATGATTTCCTTCCCTTTATCCTAATGCTATAGTTGAATATTTGCTATCCTATTCAGATTCTATCAGTTTGTCTCCCTACTCTGTGTTTTGTGACCCCTTACACCCTTTTTTTCTCTTTTCAGGTATGAGAGCCTTCTTGAGGATATCTTGTAGTGGAGGTCGTGTGACTACGAAGTCCTTCAGCTTTAGTTTGTCTGGAAAAGATTTAATTTCTCCCTCATATCTGAAGGATATTTTTGCTGGATAGAGTATTCTTGGGTGAAGATTTTTATCCTTTAAAGTTTTGAATATGTCACTCCAGTCTCTCCTAGCTTGTAAGGTTTCTGTAGAGAAATCCGCTGAAAGTCTGATGGGGGTTCCTTTGTAGGTTCTTTTCTTCTGCCTTGCTGCCCTGAGTGTTCTTTCTTTGTCCTTCATTTTTGCCATTTTTCCTACTATGTGCCTTGCAGTAGGTCTTTTTACATTGACAAATCTAGGAGATCTGAAAACTTCCTCCACACACATTTCTCTCTCAATCCCTAGATTTGGGAAGTTCTCTTCTATTATTTCATTGAGCACACTTTCTGCTCCATTTTCCTTTTCCTCGCCCTCAGGAATTCCGATGATTCTTAAGTTGCATTTTCTCATCGAGTCAGCTATTTCTCTGAGATTTTGTATAGTTTTTTAAAGTCTTAGTTCTCTTTCTTCCTCTGTCTGGAGCCATTCAGCCTGTCTGTCTTCGATTATGCTAATTTTCTCCTCTATGGTGTCTACACGGGCATTCAGGGAATCTGTATTCTGTTTTATGTGATCCATTGTATTTTTCATCTCTAGTATTTCTAATTGATTGTTCTTTATAATTTCAATCTCTTTTGTGAAGTAATTCCAGAACTCGTTGATTTGTTTGTCTATATTTCCCTTTACCTCATTGAATATTTTGAGGATAGCTATTTTGAACTCCTTTTCACTTAGTTTACCCATTTCCAAGCCCTCAGGAGCTACTTCTATACTTTTATTGTTTTCCTTTTGGACTGGAGCTTTTATAAATTGCTTCATGGTTGAGGAGTGGTTTTTGCGCGTGATGCTATTATTTGGTTGCAGTTACAGCCTGTTGCCACTAGATGGGGGTGTGGTTGAGAGCCGTGTGTTCTGAGCCCTGTGCCTTCAGCCCCAATGGGGGCATGCAGCGTGGCTTGGGGGAGGAGGGGCACTTTCACTCACACTGACGTGGATTGGATCAGCTCTCACTTTGTGGTCTCCTGGGTCCCTGGCTTGCTGGGGCTCCCCCACACGAAAGCTTTCCCTGTTAGAGGGTTTCCACTGCACTGGCGGTGGTTGTCCTGGACGATCCCCGGATGCGCGGTCCCTCCCCCGGTCCTTCCCACACCCACGGCAGCGATCTCATCCTCTAGGGGTGGGAGTGAAGTTCTCTGTTACCCGGTTGCTGCTCCTCTGAGGACGGCTCCAGCCTCTCTGCCTTCTGTCATTTGGCTGCTGTGGGTCTCTGACGATTTCTGTTGTTAGGATTATTTTTTTGGTTGGAAAGCAGTTGCTCTTCTTGGTTGTAATTTGGAGGGGAGAGAGTCCCCGGTGCGCTCACACCACCATGTTGCTGACGTCACTCCTCTGGTTTGTTTCTTCCCAGAGGTTGATAAGTTAAATGTTTTCCTTTCAGGCTGGCCTGACGGCCTAGTGGTTGAGGTTTGGCACTCACTGCTTCAGCAGCCCAGGTTGATTTCTCAGTCGTCGAACCACACCACCCGTCTGTCAGCTGCCATGCTGTGGCACTGGCTCACACACAACTAGAACAACTTGGAACTGGGATAAACAACCGTGCACAGGGGCTTTAGGGAGGAAAAAAAACAAAAGAGGGACGTTGGCAACAGATGTCAGCACAGGGTGAATCTTTAAAAAAATTTTTTTTCGTCTCATTTTATCTATATTTCAGGAAGGAGGGAAGATAAAATATGGAGTGTGTGTCTGTTTAACTGAAAGGCCAGTGTGTGTGTGCATGTGTGCAGTGTGTGTGAATGCATCTGCATATTTGCAGTTTGACACGCCGGCCTGCCCTCCCCAAGGGAGCCTGGCTGAACGTCCTATTCACAGGGTCTGGGAGCCAGCCCCCTTCCCTCCTGCCACTGCTGGCTGTCACCACAGCTTCTGAGCTCCTCTTCTGGTCACCAGCCTGTGTCTAGTTTTGGTTTGCGCTTCTTTGGTTATTGTTGGGCTTGACTCTTTTCACTTACTCATTGACTGTTCTGTGTTTGTGTGCTTTTCCTTCTCCACCTTTTCTGTTTTGTTGGCCGTTTTTCCCGTTTGAGTGTGCACTCTGCTCATCTGTGGACTTGGCTGTGCTCATTTTCACTCTGGCCCCTGGGCCCCATCTGCATGCAAGTCCTTCCCCTTGCCCTGGCTCTTCGTCCCCAGGCTCATAGTGTCACAGTGTTGTCCTCTGGTTCTTTTAAAGTCTGTAGTTTTGGTTCATTCATCTGGAACTTGGTTGTTGTCTGGCAGGAGGTGTTGGCTCCAAGTTTATTTCGTTTTTCTAAACAATGAGTCACTCTTTCAGGACTGACTCCTTGAATTTGTCCTTCCAGTTTAAAACATGACCTTTTCGTGTACTTAGTTGTCACAGAGACACGAGTCTGTTTCTGGACTTGATTCTTCTCATCTGTCAAGTTGTTGATTCCTGTAACAATGTAAGAATTTAAGTCTGACTTAAAAGATAATTAGAGCTTATTGGGAGCTTGAAGTTTAGGTTGTGTGACTTTTCTGTGATTTTTGAGGAAGATGGGTCTACTGGTTGCATTTTAAGGGAAACAGGAAATGTTGACGCATGCGTTGAGTACTCCTTCCCTCCCTCCCTCTTTCCTCCCTGTCCTCCATGAGGATGCTCAGGATGGGCCCTGTTGTCAGGGCTGGTCATAGCAGCCACCAGAGACCCTGCGCTGGGGAGCTCCTTCCTCCTGGGGCTGGGTCCTGGGTCCTGAGCAGGCCCATCGTCGGTTCTGGAAGGGGAGTATGAGGGAGGGTGACACGGAGGAGGGCATGAGTATGCTCAGCAGTCAGTTGAGTGGAGAAACCCGGGGGCTCCCACAGCTGAGCAGGCTGCCTCTGGCTGAGGCCCTGGCCAATGTCGCTGGTCACGGAGGCTACATGGCCTGTGAAAGAGAAAAGGGAGTGAGCTAGGGAGGCCTGACCCTAGGAAAGGGAGGGCACAGGGAGGGGGTCCAGTGGCAGGGTCTGCCTGCAGCTCAGCTCCAAGAATGTTGTGCTCAGGCTCCTGGGAACAGCCTGCCTGGTGTTCCTGCAGCTGGTGCTTGGTGTTGGCCTCGGTGGATGCAGCATGTGTGTCAGGAGGCTTCGCCAACTCCGTGGCCCATGAGCTTCAGTAGTGCCTTCCAGTGTGGGCTGCAGGTGGCTGTTCCCATGAGGCAGTCCCTCTGGAAGAGGTTCAGGGCAGAGAGAGACGGCATGAGGAGCACGGCTCAGCAAGGGTCACATGGGAGGCACTGGGTGGGTGATGAGGCAGAGGCTTGTTAGAACGTTTCCTCGGTGTGATTTCCCCGAAGGAGAGCCTGTGTCTGCATGCTGTGTCAGAAGATGACCACCGGTGCCAAGTCGCAGCAGTGGAGTCCTCCCCGGACGTCCAGCAGGAGGCGGACCTTGCAGGGACCCGGGCGTTGGAAAGGGAGCAGCGTGTGGGGTTCTCGGAAGAGTCTGGTCCAGGTCTGTGCCCTTCACTGCTCTCGCGTTGGCAGGCATCCAGCCTGTGGGGAATGTTTTGTGGGGAGGTCGGGCGCCTCAGCATCGATGGACTCCACTGGGAGTCAGTGACGTGGATACACTGGCCCTTTACTCTGCCGTGCTGGTGCTGGAGGCCTCCCCAGTGCCGTCCTCACGTGGCGTCTCAGAGTATATCAGGAGAAGGCCCAACTGGCGGCAGCTCTGGGGGTCATGGGAGACTGGAGCGGCTGGCAGGTCGCGGGTGTGGAAGCTGTGGTCATCCCACGGGCTTGGGGGATGGGGCAGGCAGTGGCCTTGCCACTGAGGAGAGCAGGTATAAGGCCAGCCCTGGACACAGATTCCAGGAGAGACGCCCCGACCCGCCGTGTTCTAGCTCAGCCCAGCCCTGGGGTGGGTGCTATTGCTGTCCCTGCTCGAGCTGAGGTGGGAGGAAGAGAGTCCTGTCCTGAGGGCTTGGCGGGGTCAGGGTCCCTGCCGGGGTGCTGTCCTGCTGAGGGCTCCCTCAGAGCTGGGCAGGGTGGGCTGAGGGGAGGAACGTGCTGCCAAGAGCCGAGGTCATGCTGGGCTTGGCGTCTGCTCTCCATTCTCCTTTCTGTGTGATAAGTGCCATGTGGCCATCATGTGATGTGTTACGTCACTGGGCACTGATGGACATGCACTGCGATCAGTTCGTTCTCACACCCAGGCATGTGACAAGCCCTGACCAGAATATGTCGGAAAGGGCCTGGCCTAGGACTGTGCATCCCCTGCGGCTGGTAACAGTCACCTGGTACCTAGATTAAAGGAGCAGACTGGGTGGGGGTAGGAGGGGGCAGCCGCAGGGCGCCTCGTCCGGGGCGCAGGGCAAAGTGGATGCTGGGCTGATAGTCGGTGTGTGGTGGTGTCCACTTCCGACACTGAGCTCACCCAGGAATTTTCGAAGTCTGAGTGTCTGTGTTGTCTGAGGCATTTGAAGGTGAGTGTCCTGTCTGTGTTGTGTGTGGGTGACCTCAAGCGTCGCGCCTATCTTCTCTGCCTTCTTGTCCCCTCCCAGGGCTTGCTCGGGTATGTCTCCAGTGTGCACAGGACACGGCCTTGGAGGTGGAGACAGAGGTGGCAGCCAGAGTCTTGTGTTTGGAAACCGAGCACAAGGTTAAACTCTCACTTCTTCAGACGGAGCTCAAGGAAGAAATTGACCTCTTAAAAATAGAAAATAGAAATTTACAGGAGAAGTTGCAGTATGAAGTTCACCTGAAAGAGGACTTGGAGAAAGTAAGTTGTGACTCCTCACAGCAAGGTGCTCATGCCCACTTTCATCTGTGGCCTCTTGGGCCTCCTGTGAACAGGTGGCCTGTGCCAGCTGGAGGTGAGGAAGTCAGTCCACAGGTCCTCGAGATCCATCCCTCTTACAACCAGTAGCAGTGTTTGGTTAGTGCCTTCCTCAGAGTTGAGGCAAGAATCCACCCTGAGCCAGGGCCAGAGTTGTGACTCCTCGTTGCTGCTCCAGGGGCAGGGGAACTGGCTGGGCATCCAGTTGGTTGGCTCATGGCCACCTGCAGGCCTTGTCTACCTCTGTGTCTCCAGTGGCATCCTGAACCCCTAGGCTCTTCCTCTTGACAGTCAGTCGTGTAGCCATGGAGAGTGCGCAGTGCGAGTGCATACTGAGAAATACTCTAGAAAACGTAAACCTTCACCAGATTATTGATGAGCTTCATCACACAGCCAGTGCAGGCAGGGCATGGTGTTACCACTGTGTCGGGATAATACATTTAAAGTGACTATAATTTTTTCGATTTTTTTTTTCCATGTTCTGACTAAGCTATATTCCCTCCACGTGTTGCTTGTGGCCTGATCCTCTCACCCCTGTCCTTCCTTGTGAATGTCGTCTTGGATTTTCACTCTCCATGAAAATAGAGTTTCATAGGAAGCTGTTATTACCTGCAAGTTTGATTACATGTTATTCCCCGAACTAAGGCGTTGTGAGAACTTGGAGCAAAGTAGAGCAAAGGATGGAGCTTTGTGGAGGCTGCAAGGGCTGCCTATGTCGGGGTGGCCGTGGGGGCTGCAGTGCGTTCACTGGCGGTCTGCGTGCACTGTCAGCACCTGGCCTCAGGCACTACTTGCCAAGGGTCAGGCTTTCCCCAATGACTTGATGTTCAGGTGTGTGTATGTATAATTCCTGGACCACCATTTCATCGACGTGTATCAGTTATTGAGAGAGGGGTGTGGAATTCTCTCTCTCCCTTTAGTTCTGTCAGTTTTTGCTCTAAGTATTTTGAAGCTCTGTTATTTCACACATAACGCATTTGAGATTGTTATGTCTTCCTGAAAAATGTACCCTTTTATCGTTTATGAAATATCTCTTTTCTCTCCTGTGGTGTCTTTGTATTGAAATCTACTTTCTTGTGTGACTATAGTCATTCCAGCCTTCATTTGCATTTTGTTTGCAAGGTGTACCTTTTTCTTGTCCATTTTACTTTTAATCTGCTGAGAGTAACTACCTGGAGCTTGTGTCAGACCCCCAGGTTAAGGGCTCAGCCTCATGAGACTGTGCCACTTCTGTCTGACTTGGCTACAAAGTCGGAACATTCCCCTGCTCCCCAGGTTCAATAATTTGCTAGAACGGTTCACAGAACTCTGAGAAATAGTTTACTTAAATTTACCAGTTTATTATAAAGGCTGCCAACAGGAACAACCAAATGGAAGAGATACATAGGGCAGGGTATGGGGTGGCACGCAGCTTCCGTGCCCTCTTTGGGTGTGCTGCCATCCCAGCATCTCTGTATGTTCACTAACCTGGAAGCTCTCCAGATCCCATCATTTAGGGTTTTTTTGGAGGTTCCATTACGTGGGCATGATTGATGAAATCATTGAGCATTGGTGGTTGAGCTCAACCTGCAGCCCCTCTCCTGGCCCTGGAGGTTGGGTGTGGGGCTGAAAGGTCCATCCCTCTGCTTGTGTGGTGGTCTTTCTGGGGACTAGCTACACCCTGAAGCTCTCCAGTCATCTCATTAGCGTATAGGAGACCCTCTTATGACTCCTGAGATTCCAAGGATTTTAGCAGCTGTGTGGCAGGAACTGGGGACAAAGACCAAACATTTATTTTTTATTATGTTACACATATGGGCAGCATAAAGTTGGGTCTTTTTGTTTAATCCATTCTGAGAAACTCTACCTTTTAATTGGAGTGCCTAGTCTGTTAACATTTTGTGTCATTGTTGATACGGTTGGACTTAGGTCTGCCATTTTACTGTTAGTTTTCTACATGGTTTATATGTTTTTCTTTTTTTTTTTTTTTGTTCCTCTGTTCCATCTTTCTTGCCTTTTTGATTGTTTGAATATATTTTGGAATTGATTTTAGTGTGTCTTGTCTTGTAAGTTATACTTCTTTGCGTTATGCTTTTAATGGTTGCTCCAGGGGTTAGAAGATACATTCTTAACTTGTCATTCTTCTTAGGGTTAATGTTACGGCATTTCACAGACAATGTAAGAGCCCTATAATTGTAGAGGTGCATTTATCATCTCCTCTTTGTCTTTTATGCTATAATTTCATAGGTATTACATCTACTGTTGTAAACTCCACAATATGATAAATTTTTCTCTGAACAGTCGTATGTACTTGAAAGAAATTAAGAGGAAGAATAGTCTTACATTTACCATTCATGGTGCTCTTCATTTCTTCCCGAGGATCTGAGTTTATGTCTGGTACCATTTCCCTTCAGCCTGAAGAATTTCCTTTAGCATTTCTTGTTGTGCACATGTGCTGTACAAGTTTTCTTTTAGCTGAAAAGTCTTTATTTCACCTTCATTCTTGAAGAATATTTTTGGTACCTATGGAAGTCTTGGGTGACAGATTTTTTTTCAGGATTTAAAGATGTTGTTTCTTCTGACCTCCTTGTTTCTGATGAGAAGTCAGTGATCATTCAGTCACTATTTCCCTGAACATAATGTGTCACTTTCTTTTGGCTCCTTCAAAGACTTTTCTCTTTATCTTTGGTTCTTGGTCATTTTACTGTGATATGCTAGGTATGATTTTTTTTTAAATTTTTTTCTCTTGTGAAATTCTTAAAAATTAGTACCTAAAATTGTGAATATTTGAGAAAAGGAAACAGGGATCCTAAGAAACATAGTTAACTGAAAAAAGAAAATTTATACTAGATCTCTTCTTTTCTTATTTAATAATGACATTATTGAAGTGGTGGTCTATTTTAATAACTTAAAGAAAATTCTGTATGTTTATGTCTGTCACCAAATTTTCGTTAAGTATTTTTTCAGTTTTTCATTCCTGCTCCATTCTTTCTTTCCTTTTGGAACTCCATTTGTATGGACATTATGTCTTTTGATTCCTGAGGTCCTGTTCATTTTGTTTTTTCTAATCTTTTCCCTTTCCTGTTGGTTAAATTCTGGTGATCTTCAAGTTTACTAACTCTTTTCTCATCTCTAATCTGCTTTTAATTCCATCCAGTGAATTTTTAACTTTAAGATATTGTATTTTTCGATTCTAGAATTTTGATTTGGGTCTTTTTAATAGTTTTTATGTTTTGTCGTGATTTCCTATCCTTTGACTCATTGTGAGCGTGTTTTCCTTTATGTCCATAAACGTAGTTACTGGGTCCTTGTATACCCTGGAATATAAATTGTGGAAGCCCAGAGATTTGAACTCGTTATACTGTTTCTTTTTCTTGCTCAGATGTCTAATCTCCTTCCTGATGGTAGTTCCGCTCTGTCTGGGGCACTTGGCCTGTCCCTTGACAGGAGACTATGATGTGTCTGATTTTCCCCTGTTGCTGGTCCTGGCACAACAAAGAAGGCCTCAAGCCCCACCTTTGTGTGCTGCACTTGTGTGTATTTGTTCAGTTCAGGGAGTTTTTGTGCCAGTTTCAGAGATAAAGAACAGTTGATCTAGGTGCCAGGATGTAGATACATTTTACTTAAGCACAGAGTTTTAAATTTGTTCCATTTTAGCTTCCTTGTATTCCCATCAACATAAGAAACGTTCCCATTGCTCTGATCAGCATAATGCCTGTATGTTCTGAAAGTTTCACTGTCTTTAGAGATGGCTTTGGCTTTCTGCTGCCAGTAATCTTTTCGTTGAATTTCTTCCCTCTTAAATAAAATTATGTTATCTGTAGGTAAAACATAATTTAGTTGAAGCTCACCAGGAAGAACTGAAGAAAGCTAAGGAGGAGATTCAGCTAATGAAACAAGAATTCAAAGAAAGAGCAGCAGAGTGGAAAGTTACGAGTGAGGACCTAAAGAGAAAAGCTGAAGAGAAATTGACACTGATGCTCCTTGACCTGAGAGGACAGGCGGAATCTGAGAAACAGTCAATAATAAACAAGTTTGAGCTTCGAGAAATCGAAATGAGGCAACTGCAGGACCGGCAGGCAACCCAGATCCGGGACCTGGCGGGCTCCCTGGCGGAGCAGCAGGGCCGCCTGCGGCAGCTGGAGGTGGGATTCACTGGGGACGAGTCTCTGCAGTGTGGCCAGTGTGACCAGGAGCCAGGTGGCGGTCTGGCCCCCACAGACAAGGACTGGGAGCTCGCCATGCTCCGCCTGAAAGAGGACTGTGCCCTCCAACTAACATTGGCCCAGAATAGGTGGGTGATGTTCTTGTAGGATTGTGTTAAGTGTGGGGTCGTCTGCCAGATTCCTGTGTGAGACCTCACCCCGAGACAGCCAGCAGAGGCAGAGGCAGGTTCCCTGGGAAGACATGCTGTTGTCTCTCAGTAGGGCGAAAAGGTGTGCAAGGAGGTGGAGCAGAGTGTGACGTTCTGAGTCCTGAACACTCAGTCTTCACCCTAAAACGACAATGGGCCTGAGCTAGGTGTCCTGTGACTGAGACATGCTGGCAGAAACAGCGTCCAGATTCTTCCAGTGGAGTCCACGTCCCTTTGGTGGATGCTACTGTGTATGCCTCTTTCACATCGTTTTTGTTCTTTGCAAGTTTTAAAATTTCAGTGGCAGAACTTTAGACCTCGTTTATCACAAAGACATGCAGTTCACCCATATTAGTTTTTTGTGTTTTTAAAACTCAAATATTTAAAAAAAATTTTTTTTTCTAAAATATATACATACTTCCCTGAAGTTTTAACTAGATTTTGAACGTGATTTGGTTCTTTTGCCTCTGTTGGTGCCGACACTTTTTGCAAATATGGACTGTAGTGGCCAGGGGTGTTCTAGAGTCCTGGGGCATCGGACCTGCTGTTGGTTCTGCTGCTTCTTGTGTGTCAGCTGCTCTCCGGCATCACAAGTGAGGTGCAAGAGCTTCTGCTCTGGGGTCTGAGAACTTGAGTTCAAATTGTGGTCCCCACTGTGTCTGAGCTGGGTGGACGTAGGCACAGTGTTCAGCCTCACAAAACCCTAGTGTGCTCCCTGTGCGGTAAGGATAGATGGAGAGTTCATGGAAAGACTTTCACAGTGTCTGGGGTGTAGTTAGCACATAAAAGTCATCACAGCTTTTGTTGTCTCTTTGAACTCCCCAAGGCACATCACCAATGTATGATTCCAGGCTCCAGGCTCTTCCCAGTTCCTGGTAGGATTCTGGGTGCCTTAATTAGAAGTAAGTCTTCCTGCCTGCCTCACTTTTTGCTAGGCAGCACCACTTGTGGCTCTTTTTAATTTACATCCTTCAATTCAGAACTGAAGAGTTTTTCTGAATGCTTTTTGCAGCCCTGTGGGTTCCCCTAAGCCATACTACCACCCCTTCCTGTCAAGGTCCTGCTCACCATGAGTGAACAGTCATGCCTACTTTGCCATGGTGTCTGTTAGAAATGTGTATGTGGTTCCTAGGTGTGGATCCTGTGTCCTTTCCTTCAGTCCGTGACTGGGGATGCCTGGGCTCTGGCCTCAGAGCTCTTCTGGCTTCATGTGGCCCTTTCCTCCCCATTTACTTCTGGTGGTGACACTCAGACCGTTTGTAACAGACGGAGAAGGAGTAAGAACAATTAAATCCAAGAGTGATGATCTCACTAGCAGAAGTAGTGTTTCCTGTAGGAAATGTGAAAAGTATTTCAAAGTGAGGTTGGTGCTCTTATGACTGCATATTTTACTGTTTGTTTTCACTTGCATGTCCTCCCAGGTTTTTAGAAGAACGTAAAGAAATCATAGAGAAGCTCGCTGCAGAACAAGATGCCTCCCTGCGGGAGACCCAGGAGAAGCACACCCGTGAGCTCCAGCTCCTCCAGGAGAGACACCAGCAGCATGTTCTGTCCTTGACGGCTGAGCTCAAGACCCAGCACCAGGCCGAGATGGATCAACTGAGGGCTGCGTTCGAGAGTGAACAGTGGGCTCTTTCAGAAGCGCGTGTGGCTGAATTGCAGACAAAACATGCTGCTGAAATCAGCGTTTTGGAGACAAGACACTTGTCAAACCTGGATTCTTTGGAATCTTGTTACCTGTCTGAAATTCAGGCCATACGGGATGAGCACAGACGGGCCCTAGAGCTGTTACGAGTAGACCTTGAGGGACAGCTGCAGAAAAAGAATTCTTCTCACCAAATGATTTTGACTCAGGAGTTAGGGAAGCTTAAGCTGAAGCATGACAAAGAGCTCCAGTCTGCAAAGGACAGCCTGAGAATTGAAACGAGCGCTAAATGTGTTGGAAATCTGAAAGCCCCAGCCCCCGAGCTTCAGGGAGCACACCAGGTGAGGGTCCGGGGGGCCTGCCTGCCCTCAGGACAGGTCTCTTCCTGCTGCACTGTTTCAGCTACATGTTTGTATTCTTGAATGTGCATCTGTGCAAGTGTGTCACTGTGCACGCATGTCTGTTTCCATGCCTCATGCACTGTGCCATCAGTGGTAACTTTGAGTTTCCTTGTGAGGTGGGTATAGAACAGGAAGTTTTAAGGGTTTTTTTTGATCACAGGCTCCTTGGTGAAGGCTTTGGCTCTCTGGTCCTAGAAAAATGTGTATATGTGCGTGTGCACAGAATTGTGTGTGCAGTTCATAGGTTCGAGTGCTCCTCGAGGCTGACCCCTGATCCTTGTGGGAAGGCTTGGTCTCAAGGGCCTCAGCAGCTCCAGTTTTCCTGTTGTGTGTATGGAGCCTCTCTCCCCTTGATTGATGCTCCATGAAATGCAACCCTCTGTCACGTGTCAAGAGCAGTGACTGTGCCTTTGGTAGGCACTTTGTTTTAGCGTGAAAGGGGATTTCAAGGAGAAGGCCCTGTTGCCCTGGGCTGGCACCCACCTTTCCTCATCTGCACAGCAGCTCACCTGCGTCTCATGCATTTGGACATGTTTATTTGGCCTAAAACTGTCTTGCCACCTAGACTGAAGTCTCTGTGTGGTCACATCTCCTTTCAGTTCTTGGAGCTGCTCTGTCCCATGTGGGCGAGGTGGGCATGCCAGACCCCAGGGGCAGACAGTGGCAGCTGCTGCTCTGTGCAGGCTGTGATGTGCATCTTTGTTCCTAGGTTGCAGTGAAATGATCTACAGCTGATGATTCAATTAATCACTATTCTGAAAAAGTAATACTTGTCAAATATTTATGAAGTAGATATTCCAAATTACAAAATAGGTAATCTCAGGCTTGTATGAACACGAATACCAGGTGGAAACTGTTCACTGCCTGATTCGGGCAAGATTTATGAGGAGATGTTCCTGGGAGAGTTTCATCCTTCTCTCCTTGTCAGGCAGCTCCCAAAGTTAGGTTATCGTTTGCCTCCCTTCAGCTCTGTTTAAGATAGAAAGGAAAAGGTAAGCTTGATTTGTTGGGTGCAATGGCTTCATTTTACGTTGCAGCTCTGCCTGTTCTGTGTCGTCTGAGGGTGTGATCTTGGGAGAATTCCTAGAAAGCTGGGCACGTTCAGGCTGTCTCTCCCGGCCACGGGCATGGGTAGAGGGATGGTCACCCATTGTGAGCCACTGGCCTGTCCTTGCGTTCAGACCTCACGGGAGGTATTGGGGCAGTCCCAGACACAGGCATCTGCTTGGGAGTGGATAGAGCCACAGTGTCCTTGTGGTCTGAATTTAGAGAGCTGTCCAGTGATACTGGGGGTGCCCCCAGGCCAGCCGGCCTTCTCCAGCCGCAGGCCCTCAGATGTCAGCTTCAGTTTCCTACCATACAGACAGATCTGTGGAGAATAGGGCTTATTTCCAGCCCATAGCTTTAAATTAGGTTTTTTTGATTTATTTGGTTTGAAGACGACGACGTTCTAAAAGAATATTCAAGAGGGCAAAACATGTATATGTTCACATGTGAAAACTATTTTAAAGACATGGTCTAATTTTATTATAGGTAGCAACACAGGATGGTAGGAAGCATGTGGAGTGTTTATCATCGTGCAGGGAGGTGTGGGTGGGTGGTGAGGGAGGCGTGTGGAGGCCCCTGGGTGGTGGCATGGAGGCGTGTGTGGGCTGTAGCGCCCTGTGGCAGGAGGAGCTGGCCGTGGCCCTGCATGGTCAGAGGGGCTGCTGGAGGAGGAAAGGAGCTTGACAAGCGTGTGTGGCGAGGTCCTGCTCCTGGAGCAGCAGCACCAGGAAGCCTTGCAGGAGCTCGGAGACGTGCACGTGACTGAGCTGCAGAGGGCAGCGAGCAGAGCAGTAGGCGCCGCAGGAGAGGGGCACTGCTCTGTGTCACTGTGGCCCCTTCTGGGGCAGCAGTGGCTTCAGAGGTGACCTGGGGGTGGGACTCTGGCCCCTACAGAAGTGTTGTGATGTTGGCAGAGCTGCTGGGCCTCCTGGGACTTCTCCTCGCTCTGAATCTTCTCGTTAGAGCACTGTGGTACTTGCAGACAGTCGTTACGGAGTGTTCATGAGGCCCACTCTGGGGTAGGTGCTAGGCAGGACTTGGGTCTGCGAGGAGGACCTGGGGCCTGTGCTCAGGTGCTCAGCCTCACTGGGGAGAAGGTGCATCAGAGTGCTCGCGGTCAGGTCTAGGAGCAGGTGCCTGTGTGAGGCGCCTGGCTGTTGGCCTGCCCCACCCATAGTGTCTTTTCTGCACAGTGGCCCCCGCCCTGTGCACCCCACGCTGCACCCCAGAACCCTGGGCTGCACAGTCTGATCCTTGGACATGGCCCTGCACACACTCACGCCACATGTGCCCTCTGATCCCATCTCCTGTTCTCTCCCTTATTCTTGTGGCTGGCCGCCTGCCACCCCATTTCTGGAACATATTGGGTGTGGTCTCCTCTGAACTTGTCCTCCTCCCTGCCTGGAAGCTTTTGCTCTCACCTGCTTTTGTCAGATCTTCTTCTCAGCGAGCCTTTCCTTGACTGCGCACCATAGAGCCTGGCTCCCCTCCGGGACTCCCAGCCCTGCGTCCTCCAAACCCCACAGCACTTGCTCCCAGCAGAGCATGTGGCGTGCTTGGTGTGCTTGTCATGCCTCTTCTCTCTTCACTATTGGGGTCCTAGGGAAGCGCCCAGACCGTGGCTTCCAGGAGAGCTCACCGAGAGGAATTTTGATGCCAATGGATCACCCCTGCAAACCCCTTCAGGTGCACTTGTTGCTGAGGTGCCAGTGGCCCTGCCACACTGTGTCGTCATGATCTCAGAGGTTGGGGAGGGGAGTAGGGATGTCAGGACACACCTGGGGTGCACCTGGCAGGCGATTTCCTTGGAGGGTAGGGTCCTGACCTTTCCTTGGAGGCAGCAGTGCAGCACATGGATCTGTTCCAGAGGCCATTGTAGGTGACTGGACTAGACTAGGCAAGGGTTGACCCGGGCCCTCTGGAAGCAAAGGGATGGGAGGGCAGAGAAGGCGGGCCCAGGGCCCCTCCAGGGAGCAGTGCGGGCTCCTGCCAGCTCACGGGGTCTGCTGGAGCAAGGTTGACAGTGGCACTTGGGAGGGGCATAGAGAAGCCGTGTGCCTGGGGATGCAGGGGAGGCATCTGGTCTGGACTTGCAGGAGGTGGTGGCCAAGGGCGAGGAGCCTCCTTCAGGGCAGGAGGCGGAGGAAAGTGCAGGAGGGCCACCTCAGGTGTGTGTGACTTGTGTCCTGCAGCAGGAGCTCTTAGGAATCAGCACATGCTGTGACTTCTTTTTCTGCTTTTTCAGCTTTGTACGTCAGAACGTATGTAAGCAGTAGGTCACATTGTGTTGTAGTTCTTATGGTGGAGTCGCAGGAAGCACTGGGAACCCTCCTGAACACCTGAGGCTGCTGTGGTGGGGCTGGGAGGCTGGGACCCGGCCAGGACCCTCGGGACATGCTGTGGGGCCCTTGTCCCTCAGTTCCCTTTGCATCTAGGCGGGATGGCGTTTACCAGCAGGGGTCTCCCTGTGTGCCAGTGCCATGCACCCTCATCCCTCCATGTGGTGTCACCACTCCGCCTACCCTAGGTGTACATAGCACGTGTGCATGCACACACAGCACGTGCACGGACACATGCATACGCATGTGATTTTGCATACCCTCCTCACAGGCTTGTGGAACTCCTGGAGTCCTTCTGAGGACACTAGCCGAGGCCCTTCTGCTTCAGCCCCTTAGATTTGAAACACTTGTGTCTCTCACATCGTCAGGTTTTTCTGGGGGTGAGAGGATAAGAATCTGTGTACATAGTGCTTCACAAATAATTGTTTGGTGTTTTATGTGAAGCATCGTGTACAAATTTATCGAGATGATAAATTTTTGTAAGCACTATTTCTATAGCGCTTTTAAAAAGGACATGCTAATATCTCATTTCTAACCATAAAATAAGGCCCTAGCCTTTGCCTGGGTTTCCCAGATTAATAATCAGTGCTCTTAGTGATGTGTGTACATATCAGTTGATTTCTGAAATTAGTATTTAAACTGTTTCTTTACGTGATTCCAAAAAAATAGGAAGCATAAAAATGAGCTTCATCCCCCTTTGTTTGGTTGAAAAGTCTGGCAGTTGGCATTTTTCTTGAGATTTGCTCCTTGGACTCTAAGTTGCCACTCTGGGTGAGTTTTCCGAAAGTGTTTGAATGGATGAGGGGACGACGGAGAAATCCATACACAGAAAGCTTGTGCACTCACAGTGGCTTAGAGACACACGGCAAGACCCTGAGAACCAGAAAATGCAGCTGGGCAATGATTACATCACATAAAGACTCTTCTCTTCACAATATCGTCTTACTCAGATTTCAATAAAGGGGATGAAGCCCCCTCAGCATCCCCTCAGCCCCCTCAGTGTCCCCTTAATGTCCTTTCAGCCCCCTCAGTGTCCCCTCAGTGTCCCTTCAACCTCTCAGTGTCACCTCAGTGTCCCCAGCCCCTCAGTGTCCCATCAACCTCTCGGTGTCCCCCAGCCCTATCAAGTTGAAGTCCTGAGGGCCATCACAGAGGGGTCAGGTGGCCGCCAGGAGCATGTGTCGCTACAGGGAGGTGCAGTGGAGCATGTGAGATGGACGAGCACTCGCATCGGCACCTTTGTCATTCATGGTCAGCCTTGTGAAAGGCGTGTAATGGTGGGTGCTGGCAAGGCCCACGTGCCTGGCCTGGTGAGAATCCTGTAAGGAGGACTCTTAAATGGCCCTCTTGAGTTGGGCACGCTTCTCCATGTGTCTCAGAGGCTGGAATTGACCTGTGGGGCAGATGCCTGTAGCTCACTGTGCTGCTGTGTTTTGCAGATTGGAATTTGGTCAGAGCATCTCTGGGCAACTAATGATCCCCGAGAGTGGACGGCTGTCCCCTTTCCCTCCTGAACTGTTGCCCTGAGGCCTGCCGACAGGCTGGGGGTGTCTA